GCTGCCCCTCTGGCTGTGGGCCCAGCAGGCTGGCACTTGCCCCTGCCTGGCATCTCGTGCTGCCCTAGCTTTGGGGGCGCCGCCCCTGCGTCGCCCTCCCTTTTCGCCTCTCGGCTGTCCGCCGGGACCCGTTTCCGCTGGGCGCCGCCCGGTCCATGGCTGTGATGCGTGCACCGGCCTTGGGCTCGGCTCGCTGCCTCTTTGCCCTCCCCCCCGCCGCCCGTGGCCTTCTGCGTGGCCTCCACGCGTCACTCTGCGGCAGCTGGGCGCCCCGTCTCCCCCTGGCCACCCGGCTTTGCCGGGTCTCTATGCCCCGCCTCGCCGCCCCCCCCTCCCCGCGCCGCGCTCGCGCTTCGCCTCCGCCACGCCGCACCGGCGCAGGGCCACGCGCCAAGCCCACCGCAGCAGTCCCGCGCAGCCACTGTCCTCCCCCCCTCCGCCCCCTGGCCCGCCATCCTGGCGGCCCGCCGCTCCTTCAGCTCCCTACTTGCTGGGCACCGCCCTGCACTGCAGCCGCTGTCTCATCTCCTGGGTGCGCCCGCGATGCCGCTCCGCGCTCGCGCTGTCCTGCGGCCCAGCCGCCCCCGCGCGCCCCCTCGCGGCCTCGCCGCGTGAAAGCGCCCTCTTTTCTCTCCTCCAGTCTTTGCGGCCGCCTCTCGTCTTCTCCACTGCTCTTGCATGCGGGGCCCCAGGACAGGTGCCTCGACCCCCCATGGGGGGACGGGGGGGGCCTGGAGCCTCCCTGGAGCAGCCCAGGCGGCCCAAGAGTGCCCCAAGAGCGCTCCACGACAGGCCCAGCAGGCTCCAAGAGGCCCATGAGGGCGCCAAGAGGGCCCCAAGATGTCCAAGATATGCCCAAGACGGCCAAAGAGGCCCCCCAAACGCTCCAAGAGGCCTCCAGGAGGCCCCCCCAGAGGGCCCCAAGAGGCCAAAATCGTTAATTTTACGATGGTTTTGGACACATTTTGCCTTTCCCGCCTTTTCAGCTTTCCGACGCTCCACGACGGCTCACAGGCCCCCCGCGGACGCCCCAAGACAGCCCAAGAGGCTTCCGAGAGGGGCTCAAGACGGCTCTGGAGGGCCCCAAGACGGCCCAAGACGCGCCCAAGACGGGCGACGAGAGGCCCAAGACGGCCCCCAGAGGGCTCCAAGAGGGGAACCGCGAACCGGAAATTCTAGCCTCCCGCCTCCGCAGGGCCCCGGGAGGCCCCAAAGGGGCCCCAAGAGGCCCAGGAGACCCCCCAGAGGCACCCAGGGGGCTCGGTGCCCGAAAACAGCTGCCCCGACGACCCTCCATGGGGGTACCAGGGCTCATTTTCCATGTATTTTTACAAGGTTTCCGCGTCCTGGGCCTCGGAGGCCGCCGCCTCTGACCCCCCATGGGAGGACGGGGCGGCCGGGGAGGTCCAAAATAGTCCAGGAGGGCCTCCAGAGGCTCCCAAGACGGCCCAAGCGGGCGCCGAGTCGCCGAAAGACCGCTCCGGGACGCCCAAGATAGGCCCAAGACGGCCCGAGAGGCCCCCCCAAGGCACTCCACGACGCTTCAAGACGCCTCTCCAGAGCGCTTCGAGACCGAAATCGTCAATTTTACGAAGGTTTTCGAACGATTTTGGCCTTCCAGCCTTTTCGGCCGTCCGACGTTCCAAGACGGCTCAATAGGCCCCCAAGAGCGCCCCAAGACGGCCCAAGAGGGCCCCAAGAGGGCCCCAGAGTCGCCCAAGACAGCCCGCCAGAGCCCCAAGACGGCCCCAAGATGCGCCCAAGACGGGGACCACGACTCCAAAATTCGACCCTCCGGCTTGAAGAGTGCCCCAGGAGGCCCCAAGGAGCCCCCAAGAGGCCCCAGGAGGCCCCCAAGAGGCACCCAGGAGGCCCAAACGAGGCCTAAAGAGGCCACAAAACAGCCCCGAGGAGGCCCCACAACGGTCCCAAAACGGCTACCGAGAAGCTGCGAAACTGCCTTCACGACGTCCCCGACAGGCCAACCACGAGATCCTAACCAACACCCATGAGGCCTCTGACCCACCACCCAGGGCACGGTGGCGGGAGCAGTGACAGCACTTGTGCACAGCATGTTCCGGCGGGAGCCTTCCGGAACACGCTGCAGGAGGAGGGGGAAGATCAGGAGGAGGAGGGGGACGAGGAGGAGGAAGAGGCCTCCAAGACAGCTCCAAGATAGCCGAAGAGGCTTCCAAGAGGGCCTTGGGCGGCCCACGAGGGCCCCAAGGCGGTGCCTGAGGCGCCCAAGACGGCCCGAGAGGGCCCCAAGACGGCCCCAAGAGAGGCCCAAGAAGGGAAACTCGAACCGAGAATCCGAGCTCTCTACCCCGAAAGGTTCTCGGGAAGTCCCAAGAGGCCCCCAATCGGATCCAAGAGGCCCCCAAGAAGCTCCCAAGAGGGCCGACGAGGTTCCAAGAGATCTCCCAAGGTGGCCCCAAGAGGCACAACACATTGTTTTACGATTGGGCTTTGACGTTTTTTTTTCTGCCTTTTGGCATCCCGATGCTCCAAGACGGCCCAAGAGGCTTCCAATACCGCTCCCATATAGAGGAAGAGGCCTCCAAGAGGGCCCCAAGACGGCCCGCGAGGGCCCCAAGGCGGTGCTTGAAGCGCCCAATACGGCCCGAGAGGGCCCCAAGAGCCCCAAGAGAGGCCCAAGAAGGGGAACGCGACCCAACACAGGAGCGTTCCCCCCAAAAGGCCCACAGGAGGCCGCAAGAGGCCCCCAAGTGGTCCGACGAGGACGCCATAAGCTTCCCGAGGGCCCAAAAGGCCCCTAGGAGACGTCCCAGAGGTTTCAAAATAGCCCAAGAGTGCCCTCGATGCGTCAAAACTGCTTCCAGGAGGCACCCGGGATGCTTCCGGATTGCCTCAATCTGGCCGCAGGTGGCCTCAAATCGGGCCTCCACGACGGCCAATGACGGCTTCAGATTGCAGAACCGATGCCCCCAAGGGACCTTCAGACGCCCCCCCAAGAAGCACCCAAGAGGTGCCTCCAACAGCCAGTTGACGAAGCATGCGGAACACCCCACAGGCTCCTCAGATGCCGTCGCGCGCCTGTGCTTGATAGCGACGTCCAAGATCGTGCAGCGCCCCCCCGGCCTGGGCTGGAACCTGAGCGCGCGCTCAGGATGGCCTGGACAGTATGCCCGGGCCCAGGCATACTGTCCTGAGTCCTGAATGGATGAGCATCTCACCCAAATCCACAACTCCTGGATTCCTTGTGGCCTTCGGAGACTCCGCGACAACGTTAAGAAGCCAGGAGGCGCGGTACCGGCCAGATGTCAGGGGATATGTAGGACTCCCGAGTAGGAGTTCTACTTTGATGAAACCAGGAACTCTTGGAATTCTTTTTTTCCCCCAAAATCCTCGATCTTTGAGGGCTGGAAGCGGGAAGACGTGAGAAGGCGAAAAACATAAGGAAAACCATGGGAAATCAACGATTTTACCCTCTTTGGGCTCTCTCGGGACGGCTCTCGCAGCTCTCTTGGGCTGTTCTTGGAGCCTCGTCGGGGTCTTTTTGGGGCCTCTCAAGGGTGGGGTGTGTGTGTTGGGGGCCTCTGGGGGGTCCCGGAGGCCTCTCGGAGGTCTCTGGAAGCCTCCTGCTCCCGCTCTTGGGCCCATCTTGGGCCTGGTCTGGGGTGGTCTGTGGCTGTGCTGGGCGCCTCTTCTGCAGTCTTGGAGCCTTCTTGGCCTGTCTTGGGGCCGTCCTGAGGTTCTCTTGGGTGGTCTTGGGCCGGTCCTGGGAGGCTCTTCGGCGCTCTTGGACCGTTGGAAGCTCGAAAACGCGAGAAGCCAAAAATATTGAAAAGACCATTGAACATATACGACTTTGGCCTCTTCGGGCCGTACCGTGATACCTATCAGACTTCTTGGGGTCTCTTGGAGGCCACCTGGGAGCCTCGAGATCTTTTCAGGGCGTTCCGGGAGCATCTTCCCGGAACGCGCTCGTGGCAGGGCGCCCACGTTCGAGGACGTTGGCATGGGAAACCGCAGCGCGTGATCATTCCAGGCGTTCCGGCGGACTCCAGGCAGACTGCATGTCTTATGAGGATGGCTTCCGCCTCTTGCCCCGAGCATCCCAAACTGCCTGAACGGTTTCCACTCGCCTTCCCCAAACTCGAAAGACCGCTCCGGGACGCCCAAGATAGGCCCAAGACGGCCCGAGAGGCCCCCCCAAGGCATTCCACGACGCTTCAAGACGCCTCTCCAGAGCGCTTCAAGAGGCCGAAATCGTCAATTTTACGAAGGTTTTCGAACGATTTTGGCCTTCCAGCCTTTTCGGCTGTCCGACGTTCCAAGACGGCTCAATAGGCCCCCAGGAGCGCCCCAAGACGGCCCAAGAGGGCCCCAAGAGGGCCCCAAGAGGGCCCCAGAGTCGCCCAAGACAGCCCAACAGAGCCCCAAGACGGCCCCAAGATGCGCCCACGAGGGGGACCACGACTCCAAAATTCGACCCTCCGGCTTGAAGAGTGCCCCAGGAGGCCCCAAGGAGCCCCCAAGAGGCCCCAGGAGGCCCCCAAGAGGCGAACAGCAGCTGGCGGCGCTTTCGCTGCAGGTGCAGGGCCTTTCTGGGTCGTCATCCGGGGCGGCGGGGCCTTCGGAGGCGGGGAGTCTTGGGATCTCGGCAATCGAGGCTAGCGAGGTTTCTGCTGTGTCGTACTCGCGGTCAGACCCGCGGGTTACGATTGGTCTCGACAGCGGCGCGGAGATAACCGTCTGGCCCCCAGAGCTGGTCCCAGAAGTCCCAACCAAGGACTCCCCAGAGTCCCGCCGCGGCGTGAAGTACTACGGCCCTGGGGGCACCGTCGCGCCGTCCTTGCCGAACCTCGGGAAGAGGGTGTACGAGTTAGACATTGGTGGTGTTCGCAGGCATGCTAATGTTCACATCGTCCCAGTCCGCAAACCTTTGTTAGCACTGTGTGATTTAGAAGATCACGGTCACGATGTTTTCTTCGTCGACGGTCGTCGGTGGGCTCGTCACAGGGAGTCGGGCGAAGTCTTGGAGATACATCGTAGAGGGGGCAGGTATGAGCTCGACGCAAGAGTCATCCTGCCGTCAAACTGAGACGGGCTGGTCTGGCCGTAAGTCCCGTGGAGGAGGCAAGCTCAGGTGCTCCAACGGTCGCGGGTAGCTCCGCGGCCCTTCCGGCAGCACTAGCAGCGGGGCCTCATGTTTCACAGTCAGTTTCGCCAGGTGGCTCGGCGGACGGCCCCGCGAGCGCACCTGTGCCGGCCGCAGGGCCGAGGGCACCAGCGGGCAGCCCCGCGGGCCAAGGAGGGGATGGCGGCGCTCATCTCCAGTCTCACATGGCCAACGCTGGAGGCGGGGTCATTCGAGCTCTCCCCTCCCCAAGTCTTCCTTCGGCGGAGGAGATTGCAAGGCATAGTGTTGATCATTGTCCTTGCCAGAGTTGGTGTAGATCGTGCGTGGCTGGTTGTGGGAAGGCAGACACTCATTTTAGGCGGGAGAGCGACGATCTGAAAATACCTTGTGTCTCTTGTGATTACTGTTTCATGGGGGAGACGGTGGAGGAGGGGAGGATGTGTGATCGATGTTTAATTATAATTGTACATATAATTTTCCAGGATAGGTGGTTGACGTCACATGTTGTGAGGCGCAAAGGAGTAGATGAATGGGCCGTCAAAGTCACGGCGCACGACCTGGAACAGAGTGGTCTGCAGCACTTCATCTACAAGTCAGACGGCGAAAACGCCATCAAGGCGCTCAAGACCGCAGCCGTCGAAGAACTTCGATCCAAATGTGGGGAGGCCATCGCAGTTAAGATGGAGGAGAGTGGGGCCGGGGAGTCTCAACAAAATGGTGTGGTGGAGAGGGCCATCTGGGAGGTGGAGTCCAAAACCCGGACTCTGGTCCATGCGGCCCAGGAGTTCCATGGAGTAAAACTTCCTTTGACTCATCCTGTCCGTGTTTGGGCAGTGGAGTACGCCTCACAGGTCATCAACAGAGGTCAAAAGGTTTTGAAAGATGGCCGTGCCGCGTACGAGCTGAGGAAAGGCAGACCGTACCGTCGCAAACTTCCAGCCTTTGCAGAAGCAGTGATGTTTCTGAGAGTATCAGAGAAGCGGCAGAGGCGCAAATTCGAAGACCGATGGGAGACGGGAGTCTACCTTGGACTGGTAGAGCGCTCAAACATGGTTTTGATCGGGGCGCCACAGGGTGTCCGGAAGGTGAATTGCGTCAAGAGATTGCCGCCGGTCCAGGCTAAAGACCCGGAGCTGGTGAAGGCCATCAGGGGGTATCCGTGGAGCCACTCCGAGGTTGTCGACACGGTTGAGCCGGGGGGCGCACCCGTGATGGCGGCGACGGAACCAGTCGTGCCTGAGTCGGAATTACCACCACACCTGCCACCACCACCAGCGGCACTTTGGGTCCCGAGGCGCGTATACATCCGAAGAGATGTAGAACTTGCCCGTTTTGGGTGCACAGACGGGTGCCAAGGATGCCTAGCAGCAGCTTTTGGTCACAAGCCGAGGGCGCACACACAAGAGTGTAGGAAAAGGATCGAAGACGCCATGGCTCAAGATACCGAGCTTGGCGTCCGTCTGGAGGAGGCGGAGGCGCACAGGGAGGCAGCAGGCGTCCCGGGGGCGCGAGCAGCGCCAGGGGAAACCCTGGAACCTGGAGAAGTTTTGGGGCCAGACAGCACAACGGAGGAGCCTTCGCGGGAAGCCCCGCGGACGGCGCATAATTAGGCAGGAGCAGGGGGAACTTTCGCGGGAAGCACCGCGGACAGCACCAAGGGAGGAGCAGGGAGGTATTGATTCGCAGCAGCCGAAGCGGCCCATCAATATGCCTGCTAGTAGACCGTCGCGGGGAGCGCCGCGGCAGTCTGCGCCAGGCGCAAGAGGGGGGCCGGCAGCAGCGGCCGCCGATTCTGGGGTGACAGCTTCGGCTACAGCAGGGCCGGCTGCACCGCTAAGGCCTGGCAGCGTCGAGGCTGCGCTGGCCGGGTCAGAGCCAGTGTTGGTTCGAGACGGCGACAAAGGAGAATCGTTTGGTAACGCGGACCCCAGCGCCGCGGATAGGCCAGTTCCTGGTCCAGACGAGGACGACATGGATCGTGGTAGTATCCAGGCGAATCTTCGGCAGATGGGCGCGGCAGTTGGCCCGTCTATCAAGTCCGCGCGCTCGGTCGCGAGGAGCGGTCCGATTCCGGACAGCAGCTGGGAGGCAGCTGCGGGCGAGGTGTTTTGCAAGAGCAGGTTCGCCACGCAGGTGGGCAAGTTCGGCCTTCACCCGGGCTACGTGCTTGACTTCACCACAGGGTGGGACTTGGAGGTCCCAGGGCAACGGCAGAAGGCCGACGAAATGCAGGAGCAGATCCGGCCATATCTGCTAGTGGGGGGCACTGACGGCCCTCCCTGGAGCCGGCAGCGCAGGGACGACGCTGGCGCAGGCGCGCGGGACGCGCGCGGGGCACGCAGCAGGCAGCAACTCCGGGCGTGTTGTCCGCTGCACAGGAAGCAAATCGACGCTGCTCGACACATGCTACACGAGCACCGTGGCGGCGCGGCGTCTCTGCAAGAGCCGTGCGCGCAGGGGGTGTTAGAGCAGCCAGATGTGTTCTGGGTGCGCACTGACGAGCGTGGGATGGGGCAGGCCATCGCCACCAAAGGAGGCGGGCACGAGCTGGTGGCGCAGGGGGCCGGTTGGCTCACCAACAGCAGGTGCATCGCCGAGGAGCTTGCGACGTGCAAGTTTCGGAACAGAACGGGTTCCAAGGCTGCAGGGGCAGGGGGGTGCGCGCCCGCGCTGGTAAGTGCGGCGCTGCGTGGCCTCCGGCGGCAACTCCAGGAAAACGGGAAGTTGTCGTTGTCCTCCCTCGAGCCGGGGGTCACAGGCCACGGCCCCACAGAGTATCCAGAGGAAGACCTTGCGAAGTTTTACGACGATGTCTCTGGGAAACTCTTACCAACGCCGCTGGTGCGGAAAGCGAGAGTCGCCGAGTTGGATTTTCTACGCGGTTTCCCTGTGTACGAAAAGGTGCCAGCAGCACAGGCGAGAGACAACAACCTGGTTTCTGTGCGTTGGTGTGATGCCAACAGAGGTGATGATGATAATTTGGAGGTTCGCTCCCGGCTGGTCGGCAGGGAGTACAAGTGGCAAGACCCCGTCATGCAAGGCACGTTCGCCGCGACGCCACCACTAGAGAGCCTTAGATATCTGTTCCATTTCATGACAACCACGAGGCGGGTGCGAGGCGCCCCGGTTCGTTTGAAGATGTGGGTGATGGATGTGAGCAGAGCTCATTTCCATGCGCCGTGTGTGCGGGAGATGTACATCCGCCTCCCGGAGGAGGATGCTACCCCAGGGATGGTCGGAAAGCTTCTTCGCACAATTTACGGCACGCGCGACGCAGCGAACCAATGGGACAGTTTCTTTAACGACATCATCACCAAGCTGGGCTACGACGTTGGCGTGTCAAACCCATGTTTGTACAGACACAGGAACAAACTGTCAATTGGTGGAGGCACGGAGACGACCTTGTGTTCATAGGTGAAGCAGACCACATGTACAGCTTGTTTGACGAAATCGGCAAACACATGATCCTTAAGAAGAGAGGCGTGCTTGGTTTTGAGGATGGTGACGACACGCACATCACCATTCTGAACCGTTTGGTTGATTTCTGCACGAAGGGCGGTGTGCCGACAGTGACTTACGAGCCTGATCCTCGACACGTGGATCTTCTAGTAGACCAGCTTGGACTGACCGGCAGCAGGGTCAAAGCAGTGGGCACGCCAGGCGAAAAACGCGGCGATTACCACTCGGAAGAGCCGCTCGCGGATAGCTCCGTGAGTTTGTACAGGTCATGTACTATGCGTATAGCGTACCTTGCGGCAGATCTGCCGCACCTACAGTTTTCTGCAAATCGACTGGCCCGTGGGATGAGTAAGCCCACTGCGGGCCACTGGAACCGGCTCAAGCGCGCGGTGCGCTACCTGAAGGGCCACCCCCGATGGGTTCAGCAGTTCCAGATGCAGGAGCCTGTGGGGTATGTTGACGTATGGACAGATTCTGATTGGGCGTCAGACCCAACAGACCGGAAGTCTGTGAGCTGCACGGTAGTGATGATTGGCAACCACTGCCTACGATGTTCGACTGCTGCACAGACGAGTCCAGCTCTGTCCTCAGGAGAGGCGGAATTTGTAGCGAACGTCAAAGGAGGGAGCCATTCTCTTGGCATGCAGTCCATGGCCCGGGACTTCGGCGACGAGCTGCGGATCCGTCTGCGGACAGACAGCACAGCTTCCAAGGGGATCGCTTCCCGGATCGGTCTCGGGAAGGTGCGACATTTGGACGCGGCATTGTTGTGGATACAGCGCCAGGTAGGAAAGGGGAACATCCAGATGCACAAAGTAGACGGTGAAACTAACTTAGCTGATCTTGGGACCAAGGACGTCGAGGAGGCTTTGATAGTTCGTTTTATGGGAGGCATGGGATTCAAGGAGGAGGCCGGACGTCATCCAAAAGCGTTGAAGGTTTCGCACGGTTTGGGCGGCTACGGGGAGGAGGACCTTCTAGCTCAGACGGATGATGTGGGAAACGAGAAGGAGCTCATCTAAGTAATAGCTCGTGTATGTTCGTGTTGTACAGTAAGAACGGTCTCGCGGCGAGCCCCGTGGGAGGTTCTGAACCACAGAGATGATTAGGAACGTATAGAACATTTCACTGGTAGTGTACAGTTACCAGTTTCATGTCAGGAGGGGTGTTGAAGTTACTCCCCATCATGCTCTCTACTCTTCTGTATTCTATATTCCTTCTCTTACTCTCACTTTGCTTTGCGCAATAGCCGTTTCAGCTTCGAGGAAAAAGGGATTTTTCTTCATCAGACCTGGCGTTATACGCCGACACCAAGTTCAGTAGCAAGTCGTGGAGGCTGTGTATGTCCTCGTGATTCCGCGTGTCGAGTGCATTGGGGTGCGCTTGCGTCTGGTCATCGATGAGACAGCGCCGACTCAGTGTCGATTGGCGCAGATTCAGCGTCACATGGCGTCGATATGGCATCGATTTTGAGCCGATCCGGCCTCGGTTCGCGTCGATTTGGCGTCGTCTAGCGTCGGTTCGCGGGAACCAGCAACATGGTATGGGAAGCTCCCATGAGTTGCCACCGAAGCCGTGGGGTTAAGGTTGTCGTATTTGGCGTGACCTGATGTTTTGGAGCTGGTTGTCGAAGGGTGGAAAGGGGGGCGAGGAGAAGGAGGAGGAGGAGGAGGGCGAAGAACACGGGGGTTACTCCCAACCGTTTTGCGTTGGGCTTTCGTTTGGATGCAGCACCGCGTTCGCCACCTTCCTTCCTTCCTTCCTTCCCGCTTCCCTCCTCCTCTTCTCTCCTGCCTCTTGCCTCGCTCCTTGCTGCCTGCCAGCCTGCCTTTATCTCGCCGTCCTACGTGACCCCGCCATCCCTGTGGGGCTGCAAACTGCGAAACGGTCGACACTTCCGAGGGCTGTTGGGGG